AAAAAGACATGTGGAGGACATGGCAAACATGCAGAAAAATGTTCTCTGGTCTGACAAGACCAAAAAGCAAAATGCTTGTGGCACAAAACCAACAGTGCACATTGCCCTGAGAGTACCATCCACATGGTGAAGCGTGCTGGCAGCAGCATCAGATTGTGAGGATGCTTTTCCTCAGCAAGGACTGGGCAACCCATCATAATCGGGGCAAGATGGATGGAGCCAAAGGCAGGGCAATTGTAGAAGGAAACCTACGTCACTCTGCAGGAGACCAGAGACTAGAGTGGAGGTTCACCTTCCACCTTAAACACAGAGCCAAAGTAACATTAGATTAGTTTGAAAACAAGAGCCTGAATAACTAGAATGGAAATGAGGACACTCTTCTGATATTACACATTCTTCCCCTTTTTGTCCTTTATTTCTTCAGATTTAATTGATTTTTACCTTGAGTCTTATTATTGGCCTTTCTGTATTATATACTGGCAATGTAATATTCACAAACTTTTGCCTTCCCCCTTCAGTAAAGAAGTTGATTAAATTCCTACCTGAACTTATGTGCACCCTCTCTTAATCTGCTCTCCATCACTTGGACCATTTTGTTTCAAAATGCTTGCTTCTTTTGACCAAGGCCGTTTCTTTATGTCTGTTATTTTACTTTAAGGAAAAGGAGCTTTAGGAACCCCCCTTCTGCATGGAGAAGGAGAGGGGGCATTTCATTTTCCCTGCTAGTTGGTTTCCCAGGATAATCCTCACCCACACTAGCTGCAGGGATTGGCCAGAGTTGTAACTGCAAGAACTACACCGGTTGATCTCCACAAAGGGGGAAAGCAGCAGTGGGAGAGGTTTCAGCAGAAGAAAGGCTGAGAAGAAACCATCTCCCATCACCACATCACCTCCGTGCTCTTAATCACAGCTTCTCAAAATTGTGTTTCTTTCAAAAGCAGACCCTTGGTTAGATTCATTTGTGTGCAAAGTGTAATTGGCTTTTCTTTTACTTTTTCAAGCAGCTATGATTGATTGACTGGTATAAGGCCTATTGCAAACTGATCTGCTGGCTGTTACAAGCACAGTTTATAAGGCATGCAGGGGGCATTCCCCATTTTTAAATATGTTTGGCAGCTGTCAGCCTGAATTAACATTAAACAGAACTTCTTTCTGAGGCTCCTGTTTGCTCTGACTCCCGCTTCCAGTTTCTTTGTGTCTCTCTTTATGTTTCACTAGCAAATGGCTGGTCTGATACAATCTCAGTGGCACAGAAAAGTCATAGATGCTCTAGCTGGGCCCGAAGAAACAAAAATGGCATAGAGTGGCTGAAGGCTGTGAAGGAATGGGTGTGTCTGCTCCTTGAATAATGGAGCGGGGAAGTTTCCCTTTTCTGATAGTGTGGAACAGAAAGCTCTGAGGATAGAAGGAATGGCAAAATGAATCACCAAGCATATGAAGAAAATGGGGGCGAGGGGGAGAGGAATTCCTCTCATACTTTCTGGCTAAGGCAGCTTGCTCTGTGACCACCATCTGGTTTTTGTTCAGGGCACATCTCTGGCAGCTCAGGGTCGCCCTGTTGCTATGAGGGAGAATGAAATGACTTTTCACAGAGCTTGCCAGGTTTGCTCATTGCAAGGGTGCTGACAGCGTGCAGAGCTTATCCAGTTGCTGCTGGCGTGCCTGAGGAGGATCGTCACCGGGTACAGGGCCAGCCTCCAGATTTTTAGAGACCAAGGCAAAATACCACAACATGGTTTTTGTCATGCCTGTAGCTACACTGGAGTTTCTGGCTCCTGGCTTGAATGGATTCTTCTAATCTATCCTACTTGCCTAGGCGGAGAATAACAACAATCCTTTCCTACTTTCTTTTGTTCCTCCTTTCATCCTCCGTATTATAGTCATGGCCAATCTGATGAAATGCTTGGCTCAGCCTCTCTGCTCTACATCTTTCTGAGGTCTAAGGAGCTAAAAATGTCAATACACACACTCTATACTTCAATTAAGTACTAGTCTGAGTGTACAAGAGCAACTGATCCTATTACAAAGAAAGCTGAGTAAACTGGGAAACTTTATAAACACACAGTTATATGTGAGCATTTATACCAGCAAGTACAGACCTTCAGAGTTCAGACAACCCAATTTATCCACACTCAAGGGATGAATGTCCATTGTTGAACTGTGGGTTATGATGTTGTCTGAATTCAGTGGCTTTAATGAACCATGGCTTGTTAGCTACAAATAACCTGTGAAGAGAGTCAGTAGTTTGTTGTTGGGTTGTGAATAGTGAGTTGTTCACCATGGTTTGTTAGTGCAGCTGAGCTCAGAAAAGGCAATAACCCAAAGTTGAACAACAGCCCATATTTAACCCATGCTCTTGGGTGTAGGATATCATCTTGCCTGGGCCTAGTCATCGCTTTGATCATCATACCTCTTTCAGTTATATCATGGCAGTCATCTGGAAAAATGTGTAAGTTTCAATTTCCTTTGACAGCATAGAGACAGAAAATGTAATTTGTCCTTGCAAGATTATGGTTTTGACAGCATTTAACTTTATTTTCACTATGTGACATGACTATTTTTCCTGCTTTTGTACACATATGTCTATCTGGGGGGCAGCATCAGTTAGGATGGCCTTTCCTATAGAGCAGGCCGGGCACCTCAGCAGTTGAGTAGAGAGAAGCATAGCAAACTCCAGTAGAAGTTAGCAAGGCAAGATTCCAATTTGTGCACAGCTGGTCAGGCTGAGTTGCCAGACTTTCAAAAGAAAATCACTGAAAGGAACAGCAAAGGTAGGTGCACCTAAAATGGTGGAAGGGAATATCTCCCCCTTGGCAATGCAATCCTCTGGCTTTTAGGTGTTGAACTGACACTTCTCAGTACCCTCCACATTTTCAGCATTTCCCTGACTCAACAGAAAGGAGAGATATTGGCTCTTCACCACCCTTTTTGTGGCTTCTTTTTTGGAGCACCTGCTGCTGCAATTACTGAGTGTCCCTGACAGTTCAAAACAATAACAGCCCTGAGAAGGCAGCTAAATGAGATGCGATGAACCAGGCCGATGGGGGGCCTGGTGAAAGTCCTGCGTGTTGACATCATGCTTGCTCTGTCCTGTCCTGCCATCTCTCTCTTTTTTTTAACTTTCTGGAATGCTTCTGCATTTGGGGAGAATGGAAAATACATGAAAATTAAAAGACTGGGAAATAAATGCAGGGGAAATGTGCACATCTGCAGTAATGAAACAGTAAATACAGATGCACAAATTTCCCCTTCTCTTGTATTCTGTGGGCTTTTTATAGCTGGGATAGACATATAGTAACAGCAGCAGTAAGCACTCCAAAAAGGAGCTGTGAAAAGACAGATGGAATTAATATCTCCCTTTCCTGAGTTAGTGAGGACACTGAAACTTGTCAGTACATCCTTTTAGTGTGAGAGGCCTACATTGCAAAGGAGAGTTGCTGCTCCTTCCTTTGCAGTACCTTCTTTGGTCATTTCCCCCCTTTTCAGTTGACACCTGAGAACTGGCCCTGACAGCCATGCACAAATTAGCCTGTAGGTAATCTTGCCAATTTCCATGTATATTATCAACATTTTACTGTTTTCCTTGATAGCCATAAAAAGGCACTTGCAAAAGACAGAAGAAGGAAGAGGAGTATCACATGTAATTTTTTGGGGCTGAAAAGAATTTTTAAAACATACAACCCTAATTGCGTATATTTTGAGACGTCAACAGTTTTTTAGAAAGAAGTGATGAACAAAAAGAAGTCGTGATCAGCCAGGGAGGTGCAGGGAGGCAAGACAGGTTCTGTTGGAAAGGACACTGGGATACCAGATGGAGGACTAAGGGATCAGGAGAGGGAGTACAAGCCACCATGAACCCAGTTGCCTGTCAGATGCACTATGGGTTGTTCTGCAAGCAACCCACACTATATAGCACATTTTAGCGTGGCCAGCATGTTGTGCAAACTTGCTCATGAAGCAAGTTTTCCCACATAATATGTATGTTCTTTCCCCCACCCATACACCCTTTGGTATTCTGAACTGCTGCTAGGTATCCTGAGCAGGAAGATGTGGGACATTCTGTAATTGGGGAAATTATGGCAGAAACAGTCGGGAAGTTTTAAGAAACATCAATTGGATCTGTGTTAAAACTTGAGTTAAGAAAAGTCTAGTAGGGGTAGCCTTCTGCTGAAGCTAGGATGTATCACTTTGACGTGATATATCTTTGGTGGGAAATCAAGCTACTCAAAACAGTGCTGGTGATTTTGTAATGTAAATAAATGCAAATGTGTATGGTATTTTCCTTCAGCTAGCCCAATCCCAAGCTGTTTAGAATTTTCAAGGTTAAAACCAGCACTTGGGACTGGGCCAAGAAATGGACTGGTAAGGTGCTGGCGTAATGATACCATGTTGGCCAGGCCCACTTCAACAGCTGTCTACACTGTTTTGGAATAGTTGAAGTTCCCAGACCACTTTCAGAGGCAGCCCTTGGATAACTAACCTGAATAGGAGGTAATAGAGCATTACTAACTGCTAACAAGTTGTCTCTGCCCAAATACGCGAAGACCTTACTTTATTTTCCATTACCAACATTCCTGGTGAAAATCATCCATCTGAACTGGCCATTTGCACCAGAGAGGAGCTTTTTTTTGGGACTTGTTTAGGACTTAATTATACAGTTAGCCAAATATTTAGGGTGCTTGGATAAACAACACAAAACCTCTTTCAGAACTGGATTGCATGGGGTGGTATGTATTTCACAGAGTGCTTGTGTCCAGCTGCCAAATGGTATTAGAAGAAAAAGGAAATGATTAGCTTTCGAATATATATAATGTGTGTTCACTGATGGCAGGAGATGTAATGTGTACAACTGGGGCTCCCAGAGCAGGTATCCATAATCACCATAAGCAACATTACTCTGTTGATGCATAATTCCTGTTTTGGATACATTCACGAGTGATCTGTGGCCCATGTGTTCTTTGGTTCAATGAATGTTGTCTGTTATCCTCTCCCAATGACAGACCGATGCCGACTTACCGGGTCGATGCAGATAAAGGTTTCAACTTCTCTGTGGGCGATGATGCTTTTGTATGCCAAAAGAAAAATCACTTCCAAGTCACGGTCTATATTGGCATGATTGGCGATCCAAAGTATGTCAAGACTCCGGAAGGCCTGAAGCCACTTGAATGCTTCTATCTGAAACTGCATGGTGTGAAGGCAAGTCTGAATTTAGGAACCTGTCACAGTTAACGAGATGGGGGCAGTCAGGTGGGAGTCTGTACAGAGACCAGCAGTGGTACCTGTGAACATTTTGACAGTGTGAACCTGTTGGAAAGCATGTGTGTAGCTTTTTGACTTTGTCACTGTGCACAAAAATAGGAAGGCACACTGTAGATCCTTACATATATGTAAGCCTGAGGTGTATGCACATGCGTGTGCATGAGGGGGGAGTCTTTTGAGCACTATTGTGCTTCATCTCCTGCAGTTCTCTTCCACATGTGTATATATTGGACATGTCCTGAGCAGTCTCAGTTACCCACCTGAATATCACTGTGTCCAACTTCTCTTTAAATCCTACCCAAAACTTGTGCTGTCTTTCAGTAAGCCATAATTCAACATGGCATGTTTGCTAACTGTATGTTCCCTTGGTAAATACTGAAGTAGAGGAATGCAATGCCCATCCTTTCTTCAGCCATTTCCTTGTGATTTTATTTTTCCTGCAAGTGTCAATTATCCGATTTTGTGTATGTGCACATTCAAGACAACTATCTGGTTGACTGGCACTTTCTCCCCCATTCCCAGAATTACAGCTGGGGAAAAGAGGGAGGAAAGTATGCCACACATACTGCCATTCAGCAGGTATCTGATCGTTTAGCTGCAGTGCTTCAAAAGGAAGGGTGGCCACTAGGTCATATATGAACTTCAGAAGCAGTAACTAGGCAAGATAAAATTAAGATCGTGATCTTTGACCTGAGTGTGGATTTTTTTTTCCAGCTGGAGGCTTTGAACCAGTCAATCAACATAGAACAGTCGCAGTCTGACCGCAGCAAACGGCCTTTTAATCCTGTGATGTAAGTACTGTCAGGCTTCTGTTGAAGGGGAGAAGAATTTGGGCGAGAATGATGCCCTCCTCCTCCTCCTCCTCCTCCTCCTCGCTTTTATATCCTACCTTTTCCCCTCTGTGAGGAGCCCAAGTTGGCTTACATAGCTCTGTTTCTACCTGCACAATAGCTCTGTGAGATGAGCTGGACTGAGAGTTGGTGACTGGCCCAAAGCCACCCAGTGAGCTTCATGGCCAAGTGGAGACTAGAACCTGGATCTGCTGGTCTCCAGTCCAGCACTCTAGCAACCACACCACACTGGCTGTCTAGACAGAATGTTTAGGATAATTCACCATTTTCATTCTCAGCCGAATCCCCTCTTCTATACTTTCTAGAAAAGTTTAGGTACAAATAAGAATGGTTTCAACATGACAGCGCCTGTGCATTGATGTGATTTTTGCAGGTGCATCATACTGGAAGGGGCTCTTGTGAACACTGACCATGTAACTTCCTTATACAATCTCTCCTTTTGAATGTGCTACCCATTTAAGCACAAAAATTGCTGAGTACCACTGGATACAGCACAATACTCTTTCATTGAAATTGGGATTGATGAGCTTCTTGTCCAGTTGATTTTATCTGAAATGCAGGCGCACTTACTGTGCTCTGTGTTACAGCCTCTGCCTGAACATTGGCTCTGTCCACACCATGAAGCATGCAAGCCCCCAGTTTAATGCATGGAGATCAGAATGACAGTGTTTCTCCTTGACAAATGCACAGCCTCACCGACTCTTGGGTTTGTTCCTCTTTCAGGGTCAATTTGCCTCCAGAGCAAGTTACAAAGGTCACGGTGGGGCGGTTGCACTTCAGCGAGACCACAGCCAATAACATGAGGAAGAAGGGCAAGCCCAATCCTGATCAGAGGTGAGGGTCAGTTGGCACTGGGCTTTCTCTTGCCCAGCCTGTGGATGGTGCTAACATATATTTATTTCATGGATTAATATACTGCCCTTCAATTTGGATATTCTCAGGGTAGCTTACCTTTAATTGTATTTAATGTATTCTAATGCTATTTTAATTATTTAAAATGCTTTAAATGCTGCTTTATGTATTGCATTGCATTGCATTGCTTTTATATCCTGTTGAAACCGCCCAGAGAGGTTCAGCTACAGGCAGTATGGAAATGTAATAAGTACCAACACCAACAGAAATAGAAATAATAGAAATAGCCAAAAATGTTACCATGGTTAAAAATCTGGGAAACTGAAAATCTTTGCCTGGCATCAAAACGACAGAACTGTAGGATTCAGTTGGGCCTCCTAGCTCTATATGTCTTCATGTTTCTGTGGATGACCTGAAGCAGAAATCCACCTGTGAGGCATGACTGCTATGTGAAGCCCCTTTCTCTCCCTCCCCCGCTTTCCCCTGCTCCAAGAGACACTTGAAAGTCACTTGCATCCTACTTTGGCTGGCATACACATTGAATTAAAAATGACTCTTTCCTGCTCCCCATCTCACAATAATGCTGTCTCTGATCTAGAGCAAGTAGGAAAGGGAAGGGAAAGGAGACCGGAGGGGTAGATGTGGGAAACACAAGCTATTGGGATAGCCTTAATCACTGTACTAGTGTTAATCTGCAATGAACACCTAGTTTTCACTTGCCAGGCTCTGACTGGTGCACAGTGCCTGCTTGGCTTAGATCAGGGCTGGGCAACCCGTGGCCTCCAGTTGGTGATGAACTGCTACTCCCATCAGCCCCGTTCCATCTGGCCAATAGTGAGGCGTGATGGGAAGGAGTAGTCTATCAGCAGGGCTGCTGCTTCCCCAGCTCTGTTTTAGATGCTCCTTACGCCAAGCAAAACAAGTACATCTGGGTGTCAGCCACTAGACTTCAAAAAGCGCCATCATTAACACCAAATTAAAAAAATAAACATTAGCATGCATTGCTGGCATTTAGATTTTACTATAGACTGATAATTAAGAAGCAGACTCTCTTATAAAGAGTTTGTTTGGAAGGCCTCAGCATTTTGATGTGGCTCTGAAGCAATCTGACTAGACAGCGATGTTTTCAGTTTAGAAGAACAGAGCCAAGCCCCCCACTGCTGTTGGGCTGGAAAGGTTCAACTGGAGCGATTGGCGCCCACTGAATTGCCATCTTCAGTGAATCGCCAATCTTTGTCAGATTTTCAAAGAATGAGTGGATTTAAGAAACTGATTTAATTGTACTTTGAATTTCTGATGTGTAGTCCTTCCCCATCACTAACCCTGCTTGATTTTTTAGCTGACTGGTTTTTAGAACCGTTACATTATATTGAATGGCTTACAAAAGTTATGTGGAAATTTGTATGTAAAGTTCGGAATGACCTTTCCCCCCAGCTTCTTCACTTTTCCTTTATATCTTACTGAAGAATGCTTTTTGTAATTAATAGAAAATGTTTAAAAAGACAACCCTAAGCCACGTGTGTTTTATGTCAGGCTGCTCTTTGGAGCATATCTGGTCATTTGCATTCATCTGGTCTTCATTCCCCAACTTATTTTCAGGTACTTCATGTTGGTTGTGGCCTTGCAAGCTCATGCCCAGAACCAGAATTACACTCTGGCTGCTCACATCTCTGAGCGCATCATTGTTAGAGTAAGTCTCCCTGTTCTTCCTTTTCTTTGCAGGACCTCCTTTTCTAAGTCTGAGCACCAGCAGCCCTGTATTCACTTGTCTGGGGTTCCCTGGCTCTCTTAAATATTGCTTCCAAACTGCCCCGATTCCAGTGCATTCCTTGCTGTCTGTCTGTGGTCCACCACCCCTTCTACCCCACTCCTGCTTGGCTTCCCGCACTCCTCCTTTCTTGTAAACAAAGAAGGCCTTTTGTAAATGCCACACAAGAAGGCTGGATGCTTTAGGGCTGACAGGTTCCCAGTCAAGAAATGTGGGTAGGGATGAAAGCCTAATCTTGAAGGTGCTCAGGGTCAGGAAGTGTAAGGCAGCGCCACAGTGACCGTGCTCCAGTGTCAGCCCTGAAAATTCATATCGGTGTCAACATCATTCCCCCACTGTTCAGACCACACAACTGCATGCCACTGATTCAAGCCACAGGGCAAGTTGCATAGGGTCAGGTGCTCATCGGCACGCTGCTGGTGTTAAACCAACCCACAAGATTGCACTTGTGCAGACACATGCCTTAAAGTCCTTGGGAGTGGAATGCTGGGAGAAGATGTGCAGGACTTACAGGAACGCTATGACCGATTTCCCCTAGGGCATAGATATGTGTGCGTGAGAGAGGTTATCTCCACCCCACCCCATCCTCCATAAGGCATTGCTTTGGTCCCCAGTGCATTAGTTGACACTGATGCTCTCTGATGGGTTCAGCTGGTTGGCTTTCTCAGCAAGCATCCAAATGGATTGGTTTCTTGGGTCTAGAGAGCACAGTCTTGGGAAAGGAAACATGAAGGGGCACCCTCACTGTCTGAAACTGTTAGCAAATAAGGAGGACACTAGGCTGTGACTTTGTGGATGGCTGTCTCCACCCTGCTGCCTTTTTAAGTGCTGTGTCCATTTCCTCTAGCAAAGGGCCGGTTCGGGGGTAAAACACAAACAGAGGGCGGACGGGGACCCCGGAGTCTGCAGACAAGTAAGTAGCATGCTGAACTATGCAGTCTCCGGGGTGGAGGTGGGGGGCTGTCTTGTAGAATGATTGACACTTGGCAGGGCAGATGAGATGCTTCTACCCTGAGCAGAGCTTCAGCCAGTTTTGTCAGTGGGGCTAAGGATCTGTCTGCACTGGCCCAAATATGTGGTTTGGTTGCACATCAGATGCACAGCTGACCTAGCAGTGAAGTTGATGTGAACACCAGAGGGGTCGGGGAATGTGTGTCAAAACCAGCACCACTCCATGTTGTTTCCCTGTAAACAGATGCAGTTACTGTACAATGCTTTATTATCAGCTTACCTCTGTGGTAACAGTACTTATGCAGCAAAACCATGTGTAGAGCTTCATAAGCAAAACAAACACACGAACTTGTCTCAAAGGCTGACAGACTCTGGCCATTGATGGCAGAGGGAAAGATTTAGGGAAAGGATGGGTAGAAAATGCCCGTGTCATGTGGGCAGATGCTGCTACATTATGCCTTATTTGGCTGTAAAGGACTAAAAGAGCTTCTTCCCAACCTGGTGCTTGCTATCTGGATTGGACTGCAGCTCCCATTATCCCTCCAGGGGGCATGGCATTTTGTCATCAGCACAGCCTTGTTTATTTGTTTATAATATTTTTATATGGCCTCGTAGCCCAGAGGGCTCTCCAGGCAGCTGATAATAAAATACAGTAAGATTAACAGTGGCTGTAATAATTGGCTTCACCTGCACAAAAGGGCCTGATGCCGGGACCTGTATAGATTGCATATTGTAGATACAGCATTTCAGACAATTCAGAATACTTCACCTGCTTTACCCTGTTATTCTACCATGATGTGTAACTGGCTGCGGATATTTTGCTTTCTGAAGTGGGGTCCAAATGGTGTCCAATCCCAATCTATGGCTAACACTTAAAAGAAAAATCCTGCTGCCCCATTCAGACACCCATCCTTGCCTTCATCTCTGCTCCCTCTGCCTTGGTGCCACCTGAAGCGGACTGCATCAGCCCGTTGCATGGCAGGGCTACTTTTCTTGCCCCTTCTGCAGCTGGGGAGCTAAGAAAAGTGGCCTGCCCAAGGTCCCTGGATGAGTTCATGGCAGAGGCGTGATCTGGGCAAGGGACCAATGGTCCATAGACAGCTTGTTAGCCACTAGTTTATACCAGCTCCTGGAATTAGGTATCAGTGCACTTAAATCAGTGAAGCAGATGAAATTATTATTATTATTATTATTATTATTATTATTATTATTATTATTATTATTACAACATTTCTATGCCGCCCCTTGCCGAAACCTCGGGGCGGCTTACAACATGATAAAATACATTGAAATACAATAGTACATAATAAATTACCATTAAATATAAAAATACAAAAAA